GAAAGATATCGACACTACGAGGTCTAGTCATTTTCGTACAATAAAACTTGAATATACTCCCATCTCTTTGTTTAGAGCCACATCTTCCTCCCTCCCAAATCATCTATCTCATAGAGGTATAAGAACCTTACTATTACCTCTTGTAGCTTTAATCAGAGTGTCTACTGGGCTTCCGGCCCATGGCTGTAGGGAAATTTGCTAGGGACTTTCAACAGTGTGTGAGAGCATGTTGAAAAAGAGTTATACGACAAACTACCATTCAGCCAGGAGCACCCAACCACCTTCACCCCTCACTCCCTAAAAGGATTCTTGCCACCTGAAAACTGGTACAGTACATAAACGCTCTGAGCCAGGTTGGGTATATTGAGAGAAACGAGCTAGAAGACCCTACGGCGACTGCCAATAGTAGGGTCGAAGGATGCCGTCCCCCGTCACGAAGACTAGATCTGTGCCGCCATTATCCACCTGTTCATTAGGGTGTAAGAAAAACCGCACTCAGGACACAGAATAAGAACTCCCACTCAGAGTTTTGGTGTCATAGAAACCGAACTTCCCCAAAGTACCGGTACCGGTACCGGTATTAGGTCAAAACACACAAAGTTAACTCATGTATACTCTTGTATAATCGTCCTACTTTCTCAAACTATTACTCCCCCAAGTGCATCCGCGTATCCAATGTTATGCACAGTATCAATACCCACGATTGCCCAACCTACTGGGCATCGTGGCTGTGCCTATTAGACCTAAAAGAGCCGATCACCGGCCATGAATCCCACTCGTCAGCTAAATCCTTGCTGATCGGAGCAAGGACAGAGTCGGTTAATTTACAACAGCTGACTACGCATGTCACTGCATGTCACACCAGGTTAATATCTTGACAAATGGCTTGCTCCCAAGACGGATTTTACTCCTCGAGTACTAGTACCATATCCGCCTTCTAATAATACACTTTCACGGCTTTTCACGAATATTTTGTCAGGTACACTAGGCCAAAACGAGCGATCACATGTTCCGTGCCCTCATCCACAATGTTTATTTCGCACTTCTAGGTTCGATTAACCTTTTTCACTTACCGTACTCGAGTACTGTATGAGTACCGTGCCCCTTTAGCCACCACAGTCAAATTATATGAGCTATGAACAGTCGAGAGAACCTTGGGATTCTTATTCTTTCAGTGCTGCCAGCAGCGTACTATATATACAGAAGTCCTAACAACAGAAGAAACCATTCTTCACCTTCGCCAAAGTCTTTTTCGTCTCTTTCCTTCATTCTCCTTTTCCTTCCATACCACAGTGAAACTTCTTCCAAAAACTTATCGTCCCTTAATCCCTTCTTTCAGTTTCATCTACGTACAGAGATTTCCTAGTTCTTTCCATCCTGATACCTTCGTCTATCTCACTATCAACTCATTGTGACACTTGCTAGTTCCATCTCTTAGTCCCAAACATCCAACACCCCCTAGTGCGATTCCTCAAACCTTCCAAACATCTCCGCTGCAACTAACCTCTAATGCAAACAATAGTCGCCTCAACTAACATCTTCTGCAACACTTTCCAAAACATATCTTCCTTAGGCCAAACACTTATTGTCGTAGTAGGTAATCCGTGGTCGTGGGAAGGGTAAGAGATAGGGAACCTTCGCGAATATTCTAACACACAGTACCAGAAATCTCCAGTCACTCGACCTCATGGTGCGCCCTACGCAGTCGCAACGTCCCGACTTTCGTAAAACGGACTGCTATTACTCGTACATAGTCTACCACCAAAATTCTGAGGCTGTAGCCAATTTTTAACTATGCCACAGCAGCCCGTTTTACAAACGTCACGACATTACTAGTGCGGGTCTACGATATCTGTCAGTATGCTGCTGCGCCAGGGATCAGTGGGTAAGGTCCCAGTTTGAAACCCCAGTAACTCACTGCCAATTAAGGAAGGATACTTGGTAAACAAGATCTTTTGGGCCCAGCGCACCATAGGCTAAGGCAAAATACCCACTCACCAGCACGCCTAGATCCGTGCAACTCTTCCGCAATTGATCATTGAACAAGCCCCTAGTACCGATATGGCACAGAGGGTTTTACGGTTACCGATTAGGCCCGCTAGGAAAAGAGTAGGGCTCCATGATGGCATCTGTTGCCGGGTACCCCTGAAAACCGCCAATTCAAAAACTGTGGTATGATATGATACGGAAAGATAGAGCCTGGAAGTTAAGGGAATGGGGATGGGGCAGGGAAGTTACAGGGTCAGGCAAGAAGCTGTGGAACAGTTATTTGAGATTAACCAGCCAAATACATCCTTGTCAGTTCTGGTTAATGGGTTCCTACCCTTGTACCAGGCAAGGATATGCAGAAAGAGTGGTTCATGAATTTGTAAAGCACCCTCGATCAACTTGAAGGATCCTCCACAACTCGCTTCCCGTATGTGACAGTTCAACACTCACAGTACCTACTAGGGATTTTGTACTAATGGAACAGGATACTTTTTCCAAAATGGTTAATCTCCATACTTTGCTAGATCTGGGCGAGGACAGGGGGCCATATCTGTAATCCTTTCAATGGTGGCCCATCTGTCAAACAACCCACTCATTGTACACACCCTTAGGATATAGGATCCAAACTCATTACCCATACTTACTAACTGATGAATCGGAATCGGCCCACGAAGGTGCGCTTTGGAAGTCATGAGCTCCAGCCCCCGTGTGGTACGCATACGGAGTACAGTATGGTACTCCAGTGCTGGTAGTGGTGTAAAATAGACGAGAATCTGCAAGTTCCGTGTTACGGAACACGAGAGGTTGTGACCTAACCGGTCGCCCCAAAAGAATTCCGGATATGGACGTTCTATGTTTTGATTTTCCTTCTTTTGGCTTGGATGAACTCCGCCTCTGTACGAGTACGTGCTCTTCGGCCACTGTTGCGGTTCCGGGGTTGGGATCTCGTATTGTGCCCGTAAGATGCTGCCCAGAATCATACGGTTCCGTACCCGACAGAGCTCAAGGGACGGGACGTCTCATGTAGGGGGCTCTAGATACCTAGGGATGAATTGGATATATAACGGGCGGGACGTCACTGGTTTCCTATTCCTCTTCTGCCATTCTTGTCTCGATTTCACTCGCTTTTGTCTGTCGCTGTATTACAATACTGATAATGAAGATCCTTACTGCGCTTGTCGCCCTGCGGCTTGGAGCTGGTGCACTCGCAGAGCAAGTTCTCATAATTATGAATCAATCCTACCTCTAGATGCTAACTTCCCTATGCAGGACCAGCATGCCAACTACCACGAAATTTCCAGCAGCGTTCACTGTAGGCACTCAGGCACTATCAGAAAGAGCTCCAATGCTAATCAATATCAGTGGGAAGAGGTCGGGTGATGCCCGAGTGGTGATTGCCCCCTTTGGACCTTCAAAAACTTTTCCAGCACCCATGGTCCCGGTGTCTTATACAAGGGGACTACAAATGGCGCAAGTGGTTCTACGAGGCTACCGATCCTAATCCCTAACGCCCACAAATGGGCCATGCTCAATTGCGCTGCTTTCCCGAACACCTCGGGCTCCCTCGGTTCGGGCGTGAGTAACCTCGTCCTCTCGTATAAGAATGACAATTAACAAATCCCAGTGCGGCAGCCCAATTGGCAACGCTACCGTCGGCCCAAGTACCAAGGGCCTCTACACCTACGGCGGTAGTTACAACCCCGTAATCGTCAACAATCAAACTACCTACGTGCAAGTCCGACCCCGCCTGGGATCCGTCCCCTACACCCCGGGGCAAATGGTCTTCAAGCTTAAGAGCTTCTGAATCTGGGGCGTCGATCAGCAAACAACTTGTGACCCGCGCTTTGGCTGCCTCGTCAAGGTGAAGGGTTATAGGAAGGATGGAAGCGAAACTGATGTATTGAATCATAGGCTCACGTGGCCGGAGTATTCTCCCAATAGGACGGATTACAGAACTTGGGTGCACTCTTTGGATCAGAGTGGGTATACCGGTTTAGTTGCTGTTGAGGTTTGGCTTGTGTATGTTAGGATTAGCACCGAGGTTGGGCTACCGTATGTTATTGATGATATTGAGATTGATGAGTGAGTTCACCCCCCCGAGAGGATAGTGGTTTGTATCAGGGCCTGTGGCTGACAATCTGATTTCTAGACTTCAAGAGTCGGGATGCGGTGGTTCCGGTGGTGGGCCGACACCTACCCGCATTACTCCCGGAGGACCAGAAAGGTCTCCCTATTAGTGATCTAGATGTGCACGCTCTGCTAGACCTTCCATTAATGAATTTGTTACCTATCGCTCCAGGTCATTGTGAGTTGCGAGTACCGTAGTCCACATGACATAACGAAATTTCCGGAAATGATTCATCCCCGACTACATTATATTAGACCTAATAAATTGCTTCTTACAAATAATCTTAGACAGTACCAGAAGAGTAAAGCTTTCAAACATGTGTAAATATCGTTTTGTGAAAACAGATGACTCACAGAAGGTTCTGTACGGGCATGATTAGGCAATGCCAAGTCGTTTAATTCGAATCACTTTTGGACTATGAGATGGCCACGCCGATCTCAGTATGGTATAAGTTAGAAATGTTTGCCAAATACTCAGGTTCCCCATCGTAAATCCTCCTAACCGTGCTACGGGGTGCGCGGGTAGTGCCTTCCAAATGTACTGCAGGACAGGGGGGATTGGAGTTGGCCTGCCTCTTGGAACTAATTCCGTGGGCAGCAGTATGCCACTTCAGGCAGTATCTCCTTAGTTAAGATTAAATTCTTTAATAATTATTATGATGTTATTGGTCGAAAAGTTGGGAAAATTCGTGCTGTAAGGTTTGATTACATAATAAATTTGGTTACCCGCGCCTTAAATTTACAATTGATATAAAAGGCTTGTCTTACCATCTGATACACAGCCACACTTTGCCAAGCTAGCTGTCAACTGCTGATCCTCCATAAATTTACCGGTCCTAGCTCAACCAACGGGACAACTCTACCAACCAACGCCATGCCGAACACTATGCCGAACCTGAACGTTTAACCTTCTACACATCGCCTGAATTGGTTTGCTGCCCCTCATTGGTATCGTCTCGTTTCTCGATCTTCCCTGAAGGCTAAGGTAGGTTCATTTTTGTGCGCTTCTTCACCTTGCTCAATGGACTAAAATCTGTCCGGATCATCGTTCGCTGACTTCAAATCAACTACGGTATCATAGCTCCAAAGATGTCCACACAAAATCGTAGTGCAAGACGGATACCATCTCTCCCCCTGACAGATGCCTCTACTTTGGCTTCATCATCCTCACAAGCACGTCACCGTTTCTCATCCTCAGCACTCACTGGTTCCATATCCCCACCCTCGCACGTCGCCCCCTCGTCTACCGGTTCCCACTCATCTCCCTCCTCATGGGGCCGCAAAACACAAATGTCTAGGAGGTCTGGCGGGTTTTTGCTTGACGGTAGCGGTATCGGAAGTTTGGAAGGTGGAAGGTATTCGGCGAATCCCGAGTACGATCGTGGCCGTCGGGAGACGGATGCCGGGTACCAAAGGGAGCGTTCCAGGCAGAGCAACCATTACCCAGAACCGAGCGCCGCTCATTCATGGCTTCCGGGCGAACGGGAGGTAGAAGAACGGGACACGGTAGATTTGTCAGAGTTCCCATCACACGGCTCCGAAGCCGACCCGGCGAGAATTGTCTCACTCGCTATGGGGCTTAGTGAAACGAGGCGAAGAGGCGCAAATTTACGGAGCCTGTCTAGCAACAGACGTTTGCCCGACATCCTAGATGAGAGAGAGACCGGTAACAATATTCTGAACGGGGGGGAACCAGGGCCAACGTCTCGAGCAGGAGGCCATGTGGATTTTGCGAATACTAGAGAAGGAGCTCGCGCAGCTTCACCTACGGGGTTCTTTGTTGGTACCAATACTAGTGGGCAATCCGTTTCTGCCAGCACGCTCAGCATCTTTGGACGTCAATTGTCTCCGCTAAACCCTTCGATAGCATCTCCCCCGCCGCCGGCAGGTGGCACTACTGGCAAGCAAAACTTCTCACCTGTTTCACCTCTGCCCCTACCGCCACCTGTAGCTCCATATCAGCAATTGCAGTCAAAGCGTAGTGCCCTGGCTCAGCATCGACAGCAGCTGAGGGAATTCAGAGAGCAATACCAACCTACCGAAGCTACACTTCAGAGAGCTCTTAAAGCAAAGCAGCAGTTAGAGCTTTCGTCACTATATAAGAGACTTCTCACGATATACCCAATACACGACCTTCTGCTTTCAGGCAGCCTCGCTCATGGTACACCAAATAGGGGGGATACCACCGGACCGTATTCCCGTGAGAGAATCTATAACCCGTTGATGGCAATCAGAAATAAGAGGTTTAGAAATCGGGAGAGAATCAAGCTGGAGCTGTCGTCATGGGACGACCCGGGCGCCGTCGAACAGTGGATCGAGGACCTTGTGGTGGCCGTCCATGAGCATCTGGAAGGCGGTAAAATCGGTCTCCCAAGGCTCCCTCCTCCACCACACCCTAGCGGCAGAGTTGAAGAAAAGAAAAGGGCGCGGATGGACTGGGTTATTAGTCCTCAAGAGCTGCTGGCAGACTTTTATTGGATGGAGGAATCGGAGAGGTTACGCATAGATCAAACACAGCGGGCAGGAGGTAAAGTCGAAGAAAACATGCAAGAAGGACAGGGAGAAAGCCATCCGAGCTTGAAGAGTTTGATTGATAGGGGGGAGAGAAAAGCAGGAAGCCCTTCTCAAATTAGAAAGAGGAGTATTCGTGATCTGGATAATATAGACAGCGGAGATGATATTACAAGAAGAGATACAGGTGACAGCTCGAAGAGGAGGTCGAAACCCGGTTTTGCGGAGCGAGGACCTTCCTTACAGCCTGGCATACAGCTAGAAAACGACGTGGGATACCACAGCGCATATACATCTCAAGAGGACAGTAGCCACAGCGGTGAGAGCGAGGGTACCTGCGATGATGAAATGTCCGGGGAAGAGATTGATAGTGATATTGATCAAAAGGCAAAGAAAAAGCATAGTAAAAGAAAAAAGCTAGGAAAGATTATTACGGGCACTAAGCCTAGCAGGAGAAAGAGGGCGAAAAAGAAGAGGATCAGTGACACCCACGTTCTAAGTCCGGAGGAGAAGCGGAGACGGCAAGAACAAGAGGAGATGGAATGGATGGTGGAGATGGGAGATAGACTTCCAGGCCGCCGGGGAAGCTATTCCGGAGACGAAGGCACCGATCCCGCCACTACTTTGGCGCTGGCAAGAGCTACTGCTGGTAAAACTCCTGGTGTGAGAAATATTGGGACAGGGGTTAGTTTACCAACTACACTTGGTGGGAGTCGGAGTAGCCTAGAGCGCTTTGGCTCTATAGGAGGGCCGGCAGGCAGGAGGAGCCTTGATTTCGGAGAGATCGTTGTACCTAGTATCGCGATTTCATTGAGTCCACCGAAAGTGACTTCCAGGGGGGGGGATGAAGATGTGGACTTGAGAGGGAGGACCAAAAGGAAAGATGAAATGGAAGGGACGAGAAATGAGAAGAGGAAGGCCAGCCCCACGAAGAAGTTACTCGAGAAAAGTATGGAGGTTATGGGGCGGGAGAGGGAGTCTAGTTATGATGATAGGCACAAGGAGAGCATGGATAGTGATAATGGAAGGAAACTAAAGGACAAGGATAAGGATGGGTCGGCAATGGGCAGAGTCAAGAGTAGGGTTGAGAAGATCAGAAGCGAGGTTGCTAAAGTTGAAGACTTTATCTGGAGAAGAGACGCAGAAAAGGGCGGTTCGGCCTTGTCGAGCCCTACTGGGTCAAGCTTCGCGGAGGCAGAGAGCTCAGGTTACAGAAGTGAAGATGACCGAGGGAAACTTGTGAAAGAGAACACATTCTCTGTATCAGAAGTCGAAGACGAGGGCCGGGGGTCTAAAGGCAAGTGTGGGGGATCACCACTTGAAGTTCCGGAAGGTCATGCTCTTAGATCTTCAAGATTCGGCAGCCATTCCTCGACATCGGCGCTACCAACTGTCCCCAAGATAGGCATTAGAGACAACTACGCAGAAGTATCATCAGACGAGGAGGGAAGGAGGCTTAGAAGTCAAAAGTTTGGGGCCAATCTAGAATCAACCCAGCCATGTATCTCACGAGACCCATCGCCGGCACGAGCGATCGATATCCGATCGATTGGCGATAGGAATGGAGTGAAAGGTGGAGCAGTAGCTCAGAGAGGCAACGAGAACAATGGACCAAGACTAGAAAAAAGGCTTGGGAGCAATGATGGTAAGGGGGTGGTTGTAAGTAAGCAGGCGCTGCTCAGGGCAAGAGCATATCTACTGGCTTCTGGGGTGGTTGCTCGAGGGATTACTTCCAAGAGGGCTGGAACAAGTGTCCTGGGTAGAACCTCGGATAACAACGATGGTGTTGGAATTGTGGCATTGGCCGAACAACGTATGCATTCCACTGATATCTCTCGCGAGATCGCTAGCGCGGAAGTGGAGTTTGTCAAGAAGTCCAGAGTGTTTACCAACTCGACGGTCGTGGAACTCAAAGGGCTGGTTGATAACATCAAGTCTGAAATTGAGACTCGGCTTGCAACTATGCTTGGGGAGGTTGCCGATGGAGCCGGCGAGCTCAATGGGGAGTTGACCACGAAATGCACATTGGCGGTGAAAGCGGTGAACGACGATTTGTCAAACGTGATGAGGAGGAAGCGAAGAAGGTTTAGATGGATCAGGAGGGTTGGATACGTGATGCTTGAGTGGGTGGTATTGGGTGTAATGTGGTGGGTCTGGCTGGTAGTTGTTGTCGTCCGATTTTTAAGGGTTACTGTCACCTGGACAATCCGTGGGGTTCGTTGGATACTATGGATTTGACTTTTCTTTTCCTCCTTCCGCACTCTTTGATTCTTTATTTTGTTTCCGCACATGGGAGCGAGGCGTTGGGGTGGTCCACTTTCCTTCTTTCCTAATTTCTATTATCTTTAGTGGCGGTGTTTTCTTCACGAATTGGCAGTGGGTCGTCTACTGCTTTTATATCTTATTCGGTGTCAGTGTTCTATGTTCTCCGCCAGGTTTTCCCGGGCAGATCTGCGCCCGAGCGGCTCCTTTACTCATAGTCAAACAATTCAAAACCAATTACCGCCGCTGATTGTAGTAATTATTCCGTACTTGTATTTACCGAAGTGGATATAGCTAACTACACGCTCGGGGCTTGACCTTTGTTTCCGAAGTCCCTCAAGTCGAATTCATACCCCCTAGACTACAGTAGAGGTTAAGTTTCTGCTGGACCGACGGCACTGATCCAGAAATATCATGGTTGACTGCACAGACGCGGTACACTAAATTCCAAGGACACTTAAGAGGATTGCGGAACCCGCAAGCTCAGATTCTATCCAAACGCCTTGTCGCTAGGTCGGTGCTGCTATAGTAGATTCTGATGGAGAACGACTTACGGTACTGTACAGTACACAGCTTGATCTCCCACAGATATTTATTTTTTTATACGAGTGCGCAAGCCACATAATTTATCTGTCAGCCACACGCCACGCATCACCACCCCTCTTCTCTGCCGAAGAGGTTCGACTAGCGAGTAAATACACCAAACTGACCAGAGAGAAGAAAAAAGGAGCGCACGTCTACTTACCCAACCACCGCCATCCCCGGTGTATCAAGGAATTTCTTTTTGAACTTTCTTCCCGCCTGCACTCACGCCTAGTCTTTTCACTTTTCCTACTCTGTCCACCATTCCACCACCTTAGTCCCCACCATCTCTCCGCTCGTGGGAGATTTCCCCCGCTCCTTCACCCCCCTTCGCCACACAAAATGCCCCTCCATGGACTGCAGCACCATCCGCGGCCTCACTCGAATACACATACACCTGAAGTATCTGGAGCAGGATCCGCGCTAATTCAAGCTGCTCAGGCTCTGACTGGAATTGGTCAGCCAGGTGCTGCTTCGTCTGCTGTTAGCCAACAGCAGCAGCTGCAACAACAACAACCGCAGCAACTCTTACAGCAACCCGGCGGTGGCGGCGGTGGTAGCCTCCGTGTACAAACTTCACAGAGCAATCTCACTTCTAACAGCGGTCCCGGCAGTGGAGTAACACCTATATACTCTGGGTCTACAACGTCTGGGGGGGCTCTTTCTAGTGCCGCTACATCTGGGTTGGGTTTTAGTAACAGGGACCTGCCATCGTCATCCCTTGATCAGCAGAAGAAACCCACAAACTTGACTTTTCAATTGCCGTCTCCAACAAAGGGCGGCAACCAAGGGGACCTTTACAGTTCTCCTCAAGAACTACACTATCCGCACCGCCCGAGCGATCCTGTCCAGGCCCAACAGCTCTCTTCCTCTGGCCTATTCTCTCAGCATCAGCCACAGCCGCAGCAGCAATACCAGGCCTATCATTCTTCTCAGCCTCCGTCCAATACCAGTTCAAAGCCACAACCTCACACAACAGCAACTACACCAGGCTCGATTCCGAGAATTAACGACCCACTACAACAACAGCAGTCGACAATGCATCGAACGAACACAAACGCATCGCTCAGTCATTCCTCCAAGTATTCCCCGCAACTGAACACTTCTTCGTCTTCGTTGTCAAATAGAGACAACTCGGCTGTATCCGCAGGGGGGGACCCCGGTCGGAAGTACACTCATCCGGGAGCCCTCACGCCGACTTATCCACCATCGTCACAGCATTCGTCGTCGCATTCCCATTCTGGTGCTGCGCATCTGGCTATGGGTCTGTCGGGGCTTACTTCTCCGGCGACCTCAACGCGGGAACGAGAGGAGACCGGTGTTGTTGGAGCCGTGGGAAATGGGAAATGGATGAGTCCTTGGAGTCTCTATGCATTGGATTGGTGTAAATGGCAGCCTACGAACGGGGGTTATGGAAGGGTCGCGATTGGGAGTTATGCGGAGGATAGTCATAATTATGTGAGTCTCGCCCTTTTTTACTGGCTTCGAAAATTTTGCTAGATAGGGGAGCCAGTGCCAGTTCTATTTAAGTTCATTTTGGGCTTGGCATGGATGCTCGCTTTGGTTGCGTGGAGAGATACTCCCCTGCCACGTTCAATTTTGGTGTTTCGACGGGGTGACTCTGAGAATACTTGTCGGATGATCTTGCTGACTTGAAATAGATACAAATTCTTGATACCCGACTTGCTTCGGTCTCCAGCACACATTCAGACACCCCACCACCCGCCCCAACTATCGAATTTTCAAAGGTGGCTGAGGCCTCACACACTTACCCCATAACGCGAATTTTGTGGGAACCCGCTGGTTCAACAAAAGCATCGACTGAACTTCTGGCTACCTCTGGTGACCACCTTCGCTTGTGGTCACTCCCGAATAGCCCATCAACAGGCTCTTCTAACTCTGCCACTCCACAGGGAAATTCCATCACTCGATCCAACACCTTCCACACGCAGCCCATCCAGAAATTGACCCCTCTAGCCCTCCTATCTAACAGCAAGTCTACAGATTTTACTGCCCCTCTTACATCTTTGGACTGGAATCCCCTTTCACCCTCTTTGATTATTACTAGCAGCATTGATACTACTTGTACTATATGGGACATTCCAACTCTCACTGCAAAAACCCAATTAATCGCTCACGACAAGGAAGTTTTCGATGTAAGATTCATGAGTGGCTCTGTAGACGTATTCGCGAGTTGCGGTGCCGATGGGAGTGTCCGGATGTTTGATCTGAGGAGTTTGGAGCACAGCACGATTATATATGAACCTGGAGTAGGGAAGGGTTCGGGAGCAGATCCCAACACCAACTCCAAGGAAGATGGAGGATCACCCGTCGGTGGTGCCGGAGCAAGCCCCCCGCCCTTGCTGAGATTAGCAGGTTTGAATCCTCCCTCACATCTCGCACACTGGTAGCATATGCTAACACAACCACAGCATCACCGCACGACCAACACCTCATCGCAACTTTCTCACAGGATTCGAGTCTGGTACGAATCCTAGATGTCCGCCAGCCGGGCCAAGCCCTCATCGAGTTGAAAGGCCACACGGGTAGCGTAAACTGCATAGAATGGAACCCGACAAAGCGAGGGATCATCGCAGGAGGAGCAGACGACAGTCTAGTCCTGATTTGGGACCTGGTAAACAACACAACCTCGCAATCCACGGGATCCAACGGCACTAGCGTAACACAGGAGAAGATCCCTGTGGCGTCGTGGAAGTGCGATTACGAGGTGAACAATATCAGCTGGAGCCCGACGAGTGCAGGTGCTAGTGGTGCAGGAGGAGGCGGTGCAGGGGGGATTGGAGATTGGCTGGGAGTGCTTGGTGGACGGGGTATTTGGGGGGTTAAAGTATAATTTTTTTTGCTGTTCGTTGTTCGTGTGGATTATGCGGCGCTTTCATGATATCAAAATTTCACCGCTTCCCTCATCTTCCCCAACCCCCTTAGCCGCCGGGCCAGGGGGGCTTTCCAACACCAATTTTCCCCTTTCTCTTTTACTATCCGTTTCCGTGGGCATGGGGTGCTTTTGTTCGGGGGTATTTTGTCCTTCACCTCTCCTCTTTATGATTGCTATGTACACGCTTGCTGAGTCAGATGATTGAGCCATTTTTGAAAAAAAAAAACGAGACTGGGGTGTTTAATAGTCTACTCTCCTGGTCATCGTTTTCTAGATTCCCATTGCTATGAAGTACACCGAGATCTTTAGCTTGGAGTAGCTGCGAGAGGTTATTATCTGTTCAGAAGATTGGGATATCATAAGCTCTATCCCAGTCGCCAAGTCTCACTTACCCAAGGGAATAGATATACCATTGGTCAGGCAAATAGCTCACCAATTGGGACACCCCAGTGATGAAGTAAAACTTGGCCTACCTCAGTGGCCAGGCACTCGAGTTGTCAGATTGAAGTTGTGTTTCTTTTGGTAGGTTAACACCGGGGAAAACATAACTGCAGCCCCCCACCCTACGGCGGTATCTGTAACTCCAAGCAGCTGAATACAGTAGCGAAGGCATGAACAGGTAATTCTACTCGGTGACTGGGAAAGCCTATTTCCCTTAACCACTAGGACACCGCAGTGGCAGAGTGACTTACCGATTAGCCCGGTTAATTATGTATGGTTCTGTGTGCGGTTTGGCAGACTGATACATGACGACTCAAAATCGAGAATTTGGACTTGGCGTGATTCCGGTGCCCGACATGCAATCCAAATCCCCCACATCACTTCGCCGGATCAGGGCCACAACACACACACCCACAGAAGCCTTGGTCTTGCCTAGACATTTTTGGATTCCGAAGACTTGTTCAATGTGATCGGCTCGAGACAGAGGAGACAGGTCGAGTGATGCTTTGTGAGGGGGGCTGTCCAGTTGAAGTTGTAATTGGGATGGTGGAGTATCCATAGGCTCGAACTAACGTGGGCTAGAGAGTATACAAGTCTGAGCGTTGTACTGCATGCACTATACCTCCAGCCCGGCTCCGTAGGAGTAATTCGCAACTTTAAAGGGCCAATCCACCTCGATTTCTGCACATGGGAGATCGTTTGGCGTTGTCATGCCCGAAGGAGACTCTTCAGAGTCGGCGTGGATCATGCCAGAAGGCCAAATACCATTGATGCCTGGAGCCAGCATGAGGGGGGGGGAATGAGCACATCCCAAGTTTCCCTTTTCTAGCCGTTCCGGTGGTGGGTGTTTTGTGGGTCGGAGAGAGCTGAATCGGTGAATTCCACGCAGTCGAGTTTAGAGGCACACGAGCTGCAGTGGCCGAAACCTGTGCCTCTCTCTGGTCCACACTATTCCAAACTCCCCGGGGGCACCAAACTTAGCAAACTTGTTCTCTGGCGTATACATTCCCAAGTGTTACTCCGTGTCTTTATCATTTGTGACCACCCTCGAAGTCACGATAGTATTACCGGTTTGTGTATATATATACCCCTTTCAAGATTACACCATACAATATCTCCAGGTGAAAATATTGCTGCGAGGTTTGCACCCCCGTCCAAGTCCAACAAGTTGTCGAGAAACAAAGCTTTTCCCTATCCCAATCATTTCAGAAAGAAAAAAAAACGGAAGAGTAAAAAGCTACCTTCCCGCTGGATAAGTATTCCCCCCCGTGGTAATATAGCACTCTTGGGGTGCCCAGCTATTATAGCGATGTGGTTACAAGCTCATCGACTCATTGCCCCCGGAGCACTTAACTTAGTAGGAGTCCGGAATTTTAAATCCTCACGTTCACAGTGAGCAACTATTACTATTATCGCCGGGTGGTCGATCGCCGCAGGGGATTATGCGAAACTCTGCGCTATATGGCAAAGCCAGTCCCACAATTCCCGTTTAGTAACCGTGCGGAATCGCCAGTGTCCGGGTAGTAGCCTTTTGGCTCCCTCACTCGTCTTGGTCGAAGGCTTAATAGCATCTGCCGAGCGCGTGGTACATGGTGAACATGCTTGGTCCATTTATTCCTCCTAGTGTCTGGTTGAGAATGGCACTCTTGAAAGTCTGGTAGTGGGGATAGAAGCGGAGTTTTGGGGACAACGGATCGTTGCTTGGATAGCTGCCATTACTTGTTGCTTTTCGTTTCTTCCACCTTCAGTACACTTGTACAGTACACGTACAAGCATTGGGCAGGCCATTCAAGGAAGTGCAGGAGTGTAGTGATAACCGGGGGGGGGGGTTATTATTATCCATGAAAGCTACATTTGTGCTATAGGACGCACTTCATGTGCCTGGGAGGTTTGTTTGCTCCTCTGAGTATCTTTGGGAAAACTTGTACATATTCATGAATGCTTTGAGCGCTATACATAGTATTTTTTTTAATTTCTCGATTTTCACAAATAACGTACAAGATACTGGTCCGATTTGGAAACTCACTACTAGGCTACATAAACCGCCAGACCCCTCAGCGAGGCGGCACCCTCAGCGAGGCGCGGCATACCTTGGCAATCAAGAATAGTTATTCAAGTCAAAATAGTTAGTAATATGAATTTCATCATGTCATCTTAAGCACAAGTGAGTGAATCAAGAAACTTGGTCAACCACTTTCATACCATACATTCTGATAATGGGATCGAAAGACTCCACAATCCCTGTCCGTGTTTGAGAACAAATGGCCATCAATATGGCTGTGGCTAGAACTGCTCCAAGCCTTACTGTTGCTCCTGGGATGGTAGGAGCAACTCCTAGCGCCATTATCCATTGTTGGAAGGGAAGAAGGAATCGTGAGGAAGAGGGCCGAAGAAGGCAAAAGCTTTTGCCCGAAGAAGAGTGAGCAGTGATAGACCAGTGCTACTTCTACTGCCATCTAGGATTTCTACTAACTGTATGGCAGTTGCGTGAAATTGCAACCTCGGTTGTACGAAAGAGAAATCCCTATGAAACACTCAGAAAACGATGGGAGGAAGGTTTTAAAAAATGACATCCAGAAGTGAAGTCCCACTTCAGTAAGCAATTGGATTTCATTCACAATATTGGTGGAAATGTTTTTTTTTATCAGCAATTAATGCATCATTTCTTTGACGAAGTATTCTTTTTTCTCTTTTTTTCCTATTTATTTCTTAATTGATTATTATTTTATTATTTTATTTGATTATATGTTTTATTTCTTTTCTAAATTAGTTCTTCTTAAACATGTATTAATTAGATTTATATAGTTAGAATCAATTGTACAAGAGTACAATATCATGTCTTAAAATACCTACAATCTTGATGAAGTTGAATTTTTATTAGACTTAGGTCAGTCAGAAAGGGTATTAGAGGTTGTGTAATGATCCCTCTTTGGATGGTTAGTTCTTGGCGATGGGGAACGATACTTCTCTTCTCCTTCTTCTTCTTTCTTCGTCTTATGATAGCATTAGGCTTCTGCCTACGTTACCGATAGTACAAAACGACTGTCTTCTATCGGAAACGCCTATCGTAAGCTTTCTCTAACTCTTCTCGGTGAAGAGCTTTCTCTCTGCGTAATGATAAATATTGCAATAAAGATAAAAATCGTAAAGATGTTTTATATTTGTTAAGTAATAAGTAGGAAAAGTCCTTAGAATTCAATCTAATTTTATTTAAACTCATACCACCAACACTAGCATAGGACGAGCCCTAGGGCTGGGCCCCCAGTTTGTCGCAACTCGGATACCACTAACTACAAATTAACTAAACCTCCAACCCCGTACCTCAAACATGCCCATGCCATGCCCTAACACGAACATTAAATACAAAGCCATCAACGGTAAAGAAAGATTCTCCTTAGCCAAACCTACCTGCCAGCCAGGTTACCCGTACAAAATACAAAAGTTCCACTACCACCACCTGAATGTGACCCCACAAAAACCTTCTCTACAATAGAAACCCACCCGAATATCCCCACTCAATAATCCTGGGACACTCCACCGACCACTCCGGCACCCACCCCTATTCCCAAACAAAAGAAACATCCGATACCCAAGCACGTAAACCTGAAGGAAAGCCGACTTACAGGTCGAGAGCTCCATAGCCAAAATGGTACGAACTATGGTAGAGAATTAAGAGGGCACCATACCAGCAGAACAGCCCAAAAACCTCGACAGAAGTAGCCAGAACGAGATAGTCCTCAAGCTGCCGGCACTTGACTGAACATGCCCCGGTATTCAGCTCCTCCTCTAACTCCTCAGCTCACTCTGCAGGCGGCGAAGCTGCCGCGGACTCTGTAGTCGCCGGTTTGTGGTAGTGAACTGGCGAAGGTGATAACCCTTTCGAGTCGGGGACAAGCGGCACAGGTGAGGTCTGGTCTTGTTTGACCTGGCACTTCTTGTTTTTCTTCCTCTTTCCACCTCCAGATGCAGGTCTAGTAACAGGAGTGAACGGGCCACCCTTATCACCACCTACTGCCACAGGAGGGACGCCACCAGAGGCGTTACTCCGACCAGCCACTGGTTCACCCACACTAGACTCAGGTACCTTCCCCCCCAAAGGGGGTACCACCGCAGCTGGTGTCACTACACTAGAATCTACCCTACCCATACCAGGCACAAGTGCCTCAACCGGCCCTGACGAATCAGGAACTGGTTCACCCATACTACCACCCACAACGGTAGCTGCTGGAGGGGCCGGGATAACTGGCGGTGCAACATTCCCCAGAGGGAGCTCCTCCGCTGGACTCTGAGAACTCACAGGGTCTAGCCCACCGCCCTCAACCGAGACCACCGTAGTAACTGAAGCGACTGAGGGGACAGGCAAAGAGATAACTGTAGGAGCTTCAGCCACCAACATCGTGTATAACTGCGATTGATAGCACATTCATTCTCAAGGGTAGCCGACAAGGCAGATATCTCTTTCCCAGCACATTGAAATCGCCAAGAAAGGACGGAGATTTGATGCTGAAGGTGAGAGATTTCGGCCTCCAGGGCAAAGTTCTTCTCGACAGCACGAGACAAAACCACCGATGAACGTAGAGTGGATGTGGCGGAGGGGGCGGAGGCTCACTTAGCCATTGTGACCATGACAAGGTGACAGTAGTGAATAACCGAAAGATAAGGAAAAGAAAGAAAGGACTTCCAGCAAACGTAAAAGAAGGTATAACAACGAAGTCCCCGAAAGGTGTTCGAAGTTAAAGACTTGAAGCCTATCATGAGATAGAAATTAAGGGCTCTGATTGGATCGAGACTGAACTTTCACATCCGACACGGGGTGAAAGAAAGAGGAAATGTACTTCAA